TTGCTTTTTGGTGTCAGGTCTAAGATCCTTTGCTTTACAGTGGTGAAAATACAGTCTGTAAAAGCCTTTTACAGAAATAAGAGAAAAGAAAATGTAATATGAGCTAAACTGTGGTGAAAAGTATGTTTTTTGTTAAACGTACTTGTAAAGTGCCATGGTATTTGTTCCCCCATTAATCGGATGATTTTGGACCATATATAGCCGAGCTGCAGTAAGACGGGGTGAAACACACAGGTTTACTCTTCTCACTCTCGCTGTTATTCATCTCAGGTGATAAAATAAGTGCTCTTTTATGCTGCAGTAAGCCAAAATTCATTTCATGTGCATGACATAGTGTAGGATAATATGGAACACAAAAAGGTGAAAACTTGTGTCCAGCAACACAAGTCAACAGATGAAAAGTGGCAGTTACATCACAAACTGCTGTGAGGGGCTGGATAGACACTGATTGCAGAAGCATATTCTTTTTGTAAGAGACCCCATATGAAAATACGTTATTTAGCCATTAATCATTTAGTCTCTTTTAGGAAATTACAGTAGCTACAACAACTCTTCGATGCCACTCTGTAACACTGTCCATCAGTACTCCTCCAAATTATTCCCGAAGATTAAACCTTGGTGTCTGCAGAGCTGGATTCACTCCAGACCACTGAAGGATCCACCTCAGACTGTGATCCCCATTAAGAGCGAGTAGTGCTGGGGGACTCTGTCTGATGGCGCTTCAATGTCTGTCTGACAGTAGATGGGTGACAACAAGAACAGGGACATGACCTTGCATGTAAGCTTTAGCCAGCTTCTCTGCTATTAAGCAGTCTCTCGGACACCCTGCTGGATGGTTTGTGCTGATTCTACTCGCAGGCAGTTACGCTGCTTATCTTTGCGGTATTCTCGTTCCATGGCTGCAGGCTCTGCAGGGCAAATAGAGAGCTGTTCTGTAGGCACAGCGGGTCTGGGGTCACGGGTTGGTTGATCGTCTTCTGGAAGGCCTCCTGCTGCAGCTGCATGAGGATCCGATTGGCCTGCTGCCGCTCAGCCTCCCGCTCTTCTGCCGTTTGCCGCCTGTATCAACAACAGAGTGACATGAAATCGAGCACAGATTCAGCACAGTGTACAAACACGAGCTGTGACGCTCCGGGGATCAGAATCAGGCTACATCGGTTTGTTCTGGGAGAGACAGAGAATTTGGAGAGTTATGCTGTATGTTTTCATGTAGCTCAACTAAAATAGGCTAATGCAAACAGTTTCTTTCAAATAGCAGTGATGTTTGATCTTTAATAGTTATTATTATGAAAATGTTTTCTGTTGCTGAATTTGCTCTTAAAAATGTAGAAATGGGAAAGTAGTATTAAAAGCCTTTCCTGAGCTTTTCTGTGACACAGAAAATGATTATTTCCAGGACAAAAAAAGAGATTTCTACAGACAGAGAAATGTTCAACAATATTACCACATTTTAATAGTCACAGAGCCAGAAATCTTCACAGAGCGCCTGTTTCAGTGTCTCCAAGTTGAGCTATATACATGCCAGTAGCTATTAGTAGCCTCATTTCATTTGAATTCATTTGTCCAATGGCCTTGTTAAATTGGGAGGAAGTTTTCTGCCTTCAGGCACTTCACCACAATCCTGCAATGAAATTACAGCCTCTACCTCTATGAGGATTTACGGTAAATGTGCAAATAAGAACACAACAAGATACCGTCACAAAAGGGAAACTCATGGTGGAGTATTTGGATCCAAGGAGACCTTTAAAAAACACAGATGGTTTTCCTGACACCCCCTAGGAACCAAATAGACACGCGGTCTTTGATAAAGAATGTCTGTTCAGCGCATGTTCGCTAGATTTTGTACAAACACTGGTAACTTCACCTCCACTTGGTGCGTCTGTTTTGGAACCAGGTTTTGACTTGTGCGTCGGTCATCTTCAGTGCTTTGGCCAGCGCAGCACGTTCAGCCGACGCCAGGTACTTCTGCCGGTGAAAGCGTTTCTCCAGCTCACAGATCTGCAAGCGGGTGAAGGACGTCCGGGGCTTTTTCTTCTTCGGCGGTGTCCGGTTCTGATAAGGGTGACCTACACGACGTGTTACAGTGAGGGGTGAGAGGGACACTAAACAGGAGAGAAGGGCAGAAGGACGAGAAAGGAAAGGACAGGATGAGACAGGACAGGGAAGCAGGATATGCAGAGCAAAAAGAAACCGAGAGCGCACCAGCAGCGTAGCAGGAGAAAAGCAGCTCCGTAAAAATAAATAAAACTATTACATATATCACACGTATCAATAGTTTCCTTTAATATAATGCAGAAATCTTTTTTTTAATTATGTATATATATTTTAATTCAGGGATTGAAAACCATGGGCAAACCACCACGTTGCCTTACGGCAAATCAGCCACATATTTACTTATAAACAAAATTATATTTTCAACATTTAAAATCAATATTTTTATATTAGAAACACGGTGCAGTTACTAAACACTACAATTCCGGAGCGGCTCCACAAACACAGAGGCAGCCACAGGTTTTCACGCGTATTCTGTCCGTGTACAAATTACTGCTGAGAATAACGGATTCTTCTCTTCCCCCCGTTTTATTGTCAGTGGACATTTGCTTTTAATTAAAAAGTACCGAGTTTAAACTAACGTTTAGTATTGCTATTTTATCCTCTCTTCCACACACACTCATATTGTTCTTTTTTTATTTTAAACAATGAATAATCGGGCTACAAAATGAAGAGAGGCCGCAAAACAGTCTGCCAGGTACATTTACATTGTCATCATAGCAAGGACCAATAAATACTACTTCTAGCAATTCTAATAATAATAAGTGGATACCTGTGAATCTGTCTTTAGTGTAGCGTCGATTGCTCTCCATCCATGGGAACGTGAGCGCTGACAGGTTGTTGATGGTCCCGCTCATCGCAGGCATGGAAGAGTTCCCGGCGCTCAGAGGCCGGTGAGCGGGGACACGGATGACCCCGGCGGAGTTGACGTTAGCACCGTTCATATTCACGCCCATACTCATTTGATAAGCACCGCCGAGGGAAGACATCCCGCACGCGCTGCCGTTATATCCGCTGCTGTTGCACGTGAAACCTCCGTTCACGCCGCCGCTCGCGCCGCTGTTGTAGGCCAGGTGTCCGTAGTCCGGCTCGTGCATCCTCGTGCCCAACATGCAGCTTTGCTCCACGTTGCTGAGGATCTGATCGATGCCAAAACTGATGGACTCCACTTGCGCGTGCTGCTGCAGGTGCGCCCCCAGTATCCCTATGTGATCCATGGCTTCCACGAGCCGCCGCGAGCCCCCGCTCCTGCGCGAGGAATTTAGGCTGCTTCACGCGCCACTTCCTGAACTCGAATGTATGTGCTCACGCGAGCTCCGGTAGTTCTAGTGCATGCGTCTTTCTGTGTGCGTTTGCAGGAGAACCCCAACACCCCCACATCCCATACTCCCCTCCCAGCGCACGAGGACACCAGTCAAACTGCCAGAGATTAGACAGAGATGAAGATCCGGTTTCAGGCCTGCGAGCTCAACTGGTTAAACAGGCCACTGCTCTCTAAAACACAAATTAACCGCCGCACACGATCAGTTGGAAACAAGTTGAAGATGTTTCTGCTTTTGGCACTTTTTTTGGACATTTACTGTGCGGGCCTTCAGGCCTTCAGCCGAATATTTCGCTTAACAACCTGAAACAAACCCTTTGTGCTCTTTCTTCATTCTCTGACGCTAAATTCAGTAGTTTTCATTTGTTGCAGCGCTGGTGGGAAAAGATTGAAAATTCAGTTTGGGCCATTTTCTCCCAGCTGCGCGGCGCTGAGCTAAGAGGAGCTGTAGAAATATGAATGAAGAAAACAAAAACCACATTTTTTTTGCTTAAGGGAATTTGAGTAGCATTTACACATTTTTCGTTTTTTTTAACATTTCATACATTTATCTGAGCAACAGTGTTTATAGACCCCGCAGAAAAAATGCATTGAACCCCGTTACATTTAAATTCTGTGATCGGCCGACGGTCTGACGGCTGAAGTGGGCCCGTGAACTGAACTCTTTGCAACCAAAGAAATGGCCCCAGTTCAAAGAACACAACGCAGTCAATTTTAATCTATGCTGCAAAAATTGGGAACATTGATAGTTTGGTCTAATGGGCTGAAATATGAATCACTGAAATAAATGAATGGTACGCTGCTCCTTTGTTGTTGCATCGACATCATTAACTCATGTTTAGAGGGATGATGGGACACAAACACCGTTTAACCGAAACAGAACTGCACACGGTGCTGCTGGAATGTTTCCCCGCAGACAATAAAACTAACATAAATTTCAAAATTGAAGCTAATACACACAAACAGCATGTTGTTATTTTAAATATTAACGATTCTGGAAATGATCAATGACTACGCGCGGATTTAAATTAGGACGATATTTATCGCAGCTTAACAGAACAAACAGTTCTAAATGTATTCAATCGTGGATCGTAGATCATAGCAATATTAAAATTAATATAGTAACTTTTATATTTTGCTTATTTCAAGACACAACTATAGAAACTCCTGGTCAAGTGAATGAAAAATTAAACCGCACAGTTTATTGATTTTCTCTCCTAAAAGCCACTGGGACTTAATTACTTAACGTGGGGATTACTATTTGATACCTTTAAAGAGTTTTCACTGGCCAGTCGGTCGACATCAAATTTTAATGCCTAGCAGCGTTTCTGCACACTAAAGTGCAGGTCTTCGTTTAAAACGGGACCGATAATGAACATTAGGGGAAAGGCTGCTAAATTACAAGGATCAAATGCAGTAGCTCACTAATATAACGCAAGACTGAACTTAACTCCAAGCGTGGTTTCAAGGAAATCAGTTTTGGAAGTTTTATCTCTTCATGAAAAGCAGCTTTAAAACGGAATACTGCACTAAAACACAGCTGCTGTTTTTTGGAAATACATTTCCTTGAACTAAAGTGATTTTCAGAAATAATTTTATTTAGCAGAATAATCACCGTTAACTGAAGCTGAAAAGTATTGCCTGTAGAAAAGGCTACCACAGAACATTATAGAGCCAGAGTACTTTTACACATTTGTTTGATCACTGCCCCGAGTACTTGTGTCATGTCTTCTGATCTGATTTTGTAATAAGGTTTCTCAGTTAAAAAAATAAAACTTAAAACCTTAGATGACACCCTATTTACTAGAATCTTACACTCTTTTTATGCTTCTTTTGTGTGTGTGTTTGTCTTAATTTTTCTAGTTTAGTGTTTATGACGTTTACAGTCATAATAAATAAAAAGAAATTTAGAGAGCACAGTTTCGTGGGCCCCGCAGACTGGTGTTTAATGTTTTTTTCCCTCCTCACATGGATTGGTGGAGCCATCAAAGCAGGCATGTCTGTACCTTCGTTAATAAAGTGTGAATGCCTGTGTTATTTTAAAAAAATCAACCCTATTTAATTATGAAGGGAGAAATTACCCATAGAGACAAAAAATACAACACAGGAATCTTTTGGGACTGTCTCTGCTCTGAAGACAGCCATAAGTCACAATTAGAAAATTGCAGCTTTTGGGAATTCCACAATAGCTTTATTCTTCAGCCCATTGAAAATGGGTATGATAAGGAGGAAGTGAAGGAAGCTTGGATTATTATTAGCTTCAAAGTTACACAGACCCTTATCTTGGGTTGTGACCCTAACTAAGTAATGCCCATGCAAAGACCAAAGTTAAAATAACCTGATCACATGTTCACATGTGTCATATTAAAAAAAACGACCCAGCAAACAACTGATATCAAAGACCTGTATGGTTTAACAAATTGCCAAAAGCTTCCCAGTAGTGAAAGCTAAAGCAAATTCACCCCAAGTCAATGCAAAATCTGCTCAGAGAAATTGCAAAACTGCATTTGCTAAATTTTAGACTCTACAGACCCCAGTTAACAGGTTGAATTCAGTTCAGTTTCACTCATATAACACCAAATCATAACAACATTTGCCTTAAGAGACTTTATATCAAGCTCAAGAGGCACCCTTGCTGCAGGAAGGAGCGCTTTCACAAATCATTCATCCCAACAGCAGTATAACTCCTCAATCACAAAGTCATAAGTAACTGGACATTGTGGACATCCACGGACACCACTTCATGCATAATGGACCTTCTGTAATAATTATAATGTATACTTACTCTCTCTGCATTTGACCCATTCACTCAGTGAAGCAGTGGGCAGCCAGTAAGCAGGTGCACGGGGAGCAGTGTGCAGGGAAGGTACAGTGGATTCGCACCTACGACCTTCCGATTATGGGGCGACCACTCTACCTACCGAGCTATCCCTGCCCCTAAAAAGATGTCTCCTTCTAGCCAGATGTATATGCTATGTGTATGGATGTGTGCAGGTATATATGTATGTATGTGTATACATATGTATATTTAGTGTGCACCTGTGTGTGTGTGAACATGTCTATACATTGGACTAGTAGTGGTAGAATAGTTATGTTAAGCTATATAGTTTATGTCTTCCATATTTCCACAACCATATCCATAATCACATACTGTGTATGCTACCGTTGTATATAGTGTATTATCTTACTTTTTTAAATTTTATTCTTTATTTTATTTGTATTTTTTGTATTTTCCTTCTGATATCTGTACCTGAGCTGAGGTAACGCAAAAAATTTCCCTGTCGTGGGATCAACAAAGTCTTATCTTATCTCTTATATTATAAAGTAAAGACCCTACAATAATACTAGAGAAAACCCCTACAATCAGGGGGACCTCTTTGAGCAAGCACTTGGCAACAGTGGGAAGGAAAAACTCCCCCCCAATAGGAATAAGCTCAGGAAGGGGCAGCTGCTGAAAGCTTTTAGGAGTGAGAGGAGGAAGACAGGACAAAAGACATACATGTTAAATGTTAAAGTCTAAACAAAAATCCCCCTGCCCATCGGTCTTTGGAAGGGCTGCTGAGATCAAGTGTCTTCTCTCCAAACAAACAGTCCCCCC